AAGAGACACCCCATGCACCTGTCATCCCCTAACATTGCTGGCCTTGCACAGGCATGGTGGGCCTGCTCCTCACTGTCCAGCTCCCTCTCCCGGGCCCCCCCTGAAGGCAGCAGGGTGGTAGCCATGCACCTGTTGAAGTTCCGATGGACTTCCCAGCAGCGCCTGCACAGGAGCAACACACCAGACAGCACCACGAGGGTCCCCCCAACGAAGAGTGACATTACCACCACTAGCATCATGTAGTTGTCCAAGATGGGGTCGGGCTCTGCCTGTGGGGTGGCAGGGGTCAGGTCCTGCTGTGGACTCTGGTGGTCCCAACCCACCAATCCCCCTCCCCAATCCCATCACTCACAGTGGGGTGGCTTGTGGTGTTTTCCCACGTCATGGTCAGGGTGGCTGTGGTGGAGGTGGTGGCAGCTGTGGCCATGGTAGCAGTGGGCTGCATTTTGAGGTGAGGAGGGCCCTGTGGGGGCAGGGCCTGCTCAGCTCCAGCTGCCTGGCACCCACCCCCTCCTTCATCCCAGGGAGTCAAAGCAGAAGCCCACACAGGACAGTGACTCACAGAAAGGTGGGGGGAACCCGAGGTCGCCCCCACCCACCTCAGATCAGTGCCCAGCAGGGACCTCCATCTCCCCATCTTTAAGACAAAGGCGTGTATCAACTGCCTCCCCAGCTGGTGCGGCCGGACGGGCAAGGTGGCGCTAGGCTGGGAGCCCTGCCCAGGAAAGGGGAAGCACCCCTAGGAAAATGGGGAAACTGAGGGTGTCAGCTACACCTGCATGCCCACCACCCCAAGAGACCACAGGGCCCTGCCCGCCTCATTAAGGGAGAGGGAGGGGCCGCCCCAGGAGACTGGCTCCAGGCTAGCGGGGACCCCGTAGTCCACCATGGGGAGCAGAGTGGCGGAGCACAGGGTCTCCAGGATCATGACTCGGGAGTTAAAGGCCCCCTTCCACTGATCGCTAGAGGGAGTGAAAAGGCCAAAGAAGGAGCATCTGTACCCAGCCCTGAAGAATCTGGTTCCCATGGCGACTGAGCGAGCAGGCTGAGCTGGGGTGGGGGGGGTTGCCAGGGAGTACTAGGGAGGGGCGGGGCGGGAGAGAGAGGCCTCCTGCAGGGCGACTCATGCGGGGCCCTGGGCGGCAAAATGGCTGCTGCGAGCCTCCCCACGCACCGGTGCCCAGCCCCAGGCTGGGCGCTTCCGCCAGCAGGCTCTCCCAGCCCGGACTGGCAGGCCTCCATACCTGCCTTACGCTGGGGGAAACTGAGGCTGGGGAGGGGCCCGGCACTCGGGAAAGGGACTGTCCAAACATTGCACCTGACCCTCCCCCGCGGCCGGGAAGGACGGGGGCGCAGTCTGGAATCTCAGGGAACAGAGTCTGGGGCCGGATGACCGGCAGCGGTGAATAGGCTGGGCTCTCGCTCGGTTCTTTCCCAGAGAAAAGGGAAACCTGTACACAGGCTCCGGTGTCCCCAACTCTTTCGGGTTTTGACCCCACGCGACAGCGGGGTAAACTGAGATTGGGAGGGTGTTGGCGAAATCCAAGTGTCCTCAACGCTCGGGGTCAGGATCTGGACGCGGCTCCCCTGTCTCCTGGGGGGTAGGGCGCGCGCATATGTAGGTTGGGAAATGAGTTCAGGCTGGAGGGGGAGGGGGCAGAGGCGCATGGACATGACAGGGGACCAGAAAAGATGGCAGGAGGCGGAGAAGAGAGGTGGACTGTTGGGGTGGGCGGGGACCGGAGCGAGGGCGGAGGTTCCCCAAGGGCTAGACCCTGAGGTCCCGCTGGACCTCGGCTCCCCGAGCTCGCTAGTCTCTGCGCCTAACCCCGCGCTCACATCCGGCCCCGGGGGCGGGGATGACGAGCGAGGACAGGCAAAGAGAGGGGCTGCAGGCACATCTCAACCTCGGGCTAAGCCAAGAGGCGGAAACGCCATAGTCTTCTCTGGATCTCTCAGGGGTAAACTGAGGCCCGAGAGGACGCGGTGGAGGGGGGAGTCCTTCTTCGGGCCTCCGAAGGCGAGGTGCAGAACCCCGCGGGTTGGCTCCCACGCCCTCCCCGGATCCTCCGCTCCCCCACCCCCTCGCGCCTCGCCGGGAAAGGACAGTGGTCCCAAGCCAAGGCGGGCACCGGAGTCGGCCGTGATCCTAGGCTTCGCGGTCCCAGCCTGACCCTTGCCCGCCCCAGTGCAGCCCCGGGCCCGCCGCGCCTACCTCAGTCTCGGGGCGCGCGGCCCATTGGGAGCGAGCAGAGGGATGCGCGGCGCTCCCGGCTGGCTCCGGCGCCCGGTGGCCGCGGAGCAGGAGAATTTATGAATGGAGAGCCCGGTGCGCGGGGGAGGCAGGCGCGAGAGGAGGGGCCGCTCACGTGACCGCGTTGGCTACGAGCCCGCTCCCACCCGCGGGGTGCCGCTGGGTCCCGACCGGCCGCCCCCGCCGCGCTCGCCGCCGCGTCTGGCTCCGTCCGCACTGGCCACCGCCTCCCCTTCCCTTCCGGCGGCAGCGGGGTGGGGGGGTGAGGGGAGGCGGAGCCTGAGCTCCCCGGCGCCCCCTCCCCACACGGAGCCGCCCTCTCCCGCGTTGGCTTATCTCCGCCCCCAGCCCCTGCAGCAAGAATTGTCGACCCTTTCCAGGCTCCAAAAGGGCTGGGAAGGGGAGGGGAGGGCACCGTGGAATGCACGACTACCCCCAGCTGGGGGTCCTCGGGTGCACAGACCCCCCTCCATATCTTTCCCTAGTCTGGGGTCCTCAACGTACATATCCCAGGAATCTCAGGCACATGTCCTCCCTTCCTTTCCGTGTTAGGGCGACACTGTTAGGGCTCACCGTGTGCCCTGCCTCGTTGGGAAGAGCAAAGATAATAGAACGCAACCTCTGTAGAGTGCTACCAGGGCCTGCACAGTGCCGGTAACACTCTAACTACTCTTCAGAAACCTCACGCCTGGCAAATCCCAAAGCTGCTTCCCCTTCTTCCTCTCCGAAAATCGTGCTTTGTCCTTCTAGATGCATAGGCCACCAGCCTGCCATCAGTTTGGTCCTGATCCCATCCCTGCTATACCCCATAAGGACACCACTTCTTCTCCAGGGAAGGCCCACACTGCTCAGTGACACCCAAGTTCAACCTCCAGGCATTTGAATTTGCAGGTGCCAGGCCAAGACGACTCTTTTCCAGCTCAGCGGCAAGAGGCTCTCCCTGGTCCCCTTCAACACTTCCCAAATAGCAAATCCTCCATGCCTCTCCTCTTGGCTATGTCTGCTAACATGGCAACTGCTACCCCCACACTCCTGTCCCCTGCTGCACTTTTTTCCTCACTGTGGCTCTCTACCTTATTAGCTCCTGTGTGTTGTGTCCCCTGCCCCCTCTCCATGTTGACTTCCAAGAGTAGGAGCTCATTCAAGCCTGGGTCCCCAGGTGTAACACAGGGCTGGCACCTAGGAGGGAATGTTCTTACTGAGTGGATGAAAGGGTGACGCCACTAAAGGAGGGCAAGGGGACAGCTGAGTGGATAAATACCCAGGAAAGCTGGCATCAGGTGAACAGCGATGGCATGTGCAAAGGCCCTGAGGTAGGAAAGTGTTTGCAGTTGGCTGACATATTTGCGTGAGCAGGGGAAACCAGCTTGTGGTTCTCAGCAGAGTAATACCATGGTCCCTCTGGCTGTGTGTGAAGGCACCCATGGTGACGCTAGGGGAGGAAGACTGAGACCATCCAAGCCACTGAAGGTAGCCACAGGTGGCCGAGCTTGGTAGTCAGGCCTTGTAAATGGGTCCGCTAAGGTATCATTACACGATAACCTCAGGTTTGGGACCTGAGTAACAGGTGGTGCTTGTACCCATGGGCCACGCTGGAATGGGGACTGGAAAGAAGTCCAGTGGATGGGTTTAAGCAGTCAATTAGATCAGGCCTCGATATGGGATCCGGGCCTCCAGCAGAGGACGGCCTGCGCACCTCACACACCCCTAGACAGGTGAGTAGGGCTCCCCAATGCACATTCCCCCATCCCCAGGGCTCGGAGGGGACATTTTTTTGGCACGGATGCTTCCAGGCAGAGGCGTGGCCACAGCGCCTGCCTGGACTTTGCAAGGAGCCAGGACTCACGCTGCCCCAGGGGTTTGGAACCTCTGCAGCAGCCCCGCGTCGCAGACCACCTGCCCCTGGCACAGGGGTGACAGCCACTACCCTGCGCCTTGCATTCCTCTGCTCCTCAGCAGAAGACCTTCCCGTTCAGGCCGCACACAGCATTTCCCCGGAGCCCAACCCGGGGGCGGGGGTTGGGGACCCAGCCCTGCGCGCCGACCTGCGTGCGTGACCGCGGAGGCGGGGCAACGACGTCAGTTACGCGAGCGAGGCTGCGCAGGCCGCGGTGATGTCAGCGGAACCCTGGGCCGCCAGCGCAGGCGCCCCTGCGTCAGCGGCGCGTGGGGGCGACAACCGGGCGAGGCTGCGAAGAGAGCAGCGCCGGACACGGGGGCGCCCTCTCGTGGCGCTCTCGGACTTTGCAGCCAAGCTGTTCGCACAGCCGGCGCTTGCTCGCGCTGGGTCTTCTGCCGGTGGATGCGGTTACCAGGATTCCTGAACTTCCCTCAGTTGCAACCTGACTCAAACCCCACCCTTCACATTCTTTTAGCCTTTTTAAAAAGAGTATTTTCCCCCTTCTAACATAATATAGGGTTTGCTTAATTATTACATTGAACGTCTGTGAAACGCTCTCACCACCCACACCAGAGGTGGAGTCTCGGTATTTCTCTGATTTCTCTCTAGATGCTAACATCTAGTGAACGCTCTCCAAATCTCGAATTCAACTTAAATGTCTCCTCCTCCGCGCAGGCTTCTGGTCTCTCCACGAAGAGCCGTCTAACTGACGTCCCTCCCACACGCCTGAGAAGTGAACCGAGAGCTGAGGCCAAAACAAAACTACAATCCCCAGCATGCTGCGCGCCCGGTAGCGCGTCGTCAAGTTCGCGGGTAGCCAGCCGGGAGTCGTAGTCTGCGCAGGCGCTCTCAAGTCTGATCCGTCTCCCAGACGTCCCCGCGCGTCGTCCTCCTCGCCCTCCAAGCCGCCGGTGTTCGGCCAGACCCTGACCACACGCCGCTGCCATTATGCTGCCAGCCACACTGCTCCGCCGCCCCGGCCTGGGTCGCCTCGTGCGCCAGGCCCGCGCCTACGCCGAGGCTGCCGCCGCTCCGGCCCCAGCTGTGGGCCCGGGACAAATGTCTTTTACCTTCGCGTCACCTACGCAGGTGCGGACACTGTTTCGGACCCCGGATCCGTGGCCCTCTCCCACGCAGTCTGGGTCTGAAACTCCCAACCCCCATTCCGGATCTGAGTTCCCCAACTCTCAGGTCGCCAACCCCCATTTCGGACCCGGGATCCGAGTCCCACAACCCCTGAGCTCTCTGGCCTTCCACCTGGAATCCGACGCCCAAGAGCCCTACCTGCCCTTCAAGCCGGCATTACCTTTCGTTGCAGGCACCTCTTCCGAGATAAGAACCTTCTGTGTGCCCTCCGCTTGAGGCATCTCCTCGTATCCTTACAGCATGTCTCTGCCTAAGGACTTGGGTGGCTGGATTTTCTTCTCACAGATGATGGCCCTGAGGCACTGCCCGAGGACCAAAACCCAAGCGTCTGCCCCAGCGCGGCTGCTTCTGTGCCTCCCATGGCACTCAGTCCTGCCCCAGCTCATTTCACTGCTGAGGAGACTAAGTGCTGATGGAGTGAAACTGGCCTGCAGTGACCTACTCCCTGTGTGTCTTCTCCAGGTCTTCTTCAATGGGGCCAATGTCAGGCAGGTGGATGTGCCCACGCAGACGGGAGCCTTCGGTATCCTGGCAGCCCACGTGCCTACCCTGCAGGTCCTGCGGCCGGGACTGGTTGTTGTCCACGCTGAGGATGGCACCACCTCCAAATACTTCGGTGAGTTCAGCAGAAGGCCAGTCTCTGTATCAGTTGATAATGGCAAGAAAAAGTGCTATGGGGACCGGAAGGACACAGTGGGCAGCAAGCCAGAAGCATCTTCCAACCTTCAGCTCCGGACTGGCTGTGGTTAAGTAGCATGTAGCAGGTTGGGGGAGGATTACAGATGCTGGGAAGAAAAGTAAAACTGTGCTGAGAGGGCTCCTGACTTAGAGGAGGAAACCTGTGAAGGAAGAAACTGGCTCTAAGAAGGCCTTCTGTCAGCATCAGTCTTCAAAGCTTCAGCCAGAATTCAAACACAGCCCTCTGTTTACTGACCCTTGCTCAGCTAATGGGCTGGTGGGTGAAGGGAAGGGTCTGTGTTTCCATGCCCAACCACCCGCAGATGCCCCCGGATGGCTCCCTGGTCCCATGTGTTCTTTCCAGGTGCCCATCCCTCATGCTGGACCCCAGAGCCCCTATAGGGGTACTGTCCTGGTTCTGGGTCTGGCAGTTACCCCTGAGCCTGGATATGGAGATCTCAATCCCAGTCCTCCCACAGTGAGCAGTGGCTCGGTCACAGTGAATGCTGATTCATCAGTTCAGTTACTGGCCGAAGAGGCCGTGACACTGGACATGCTGGACCTGGCGGTAAGTGCTCCAGGGGAAACTCAGGCACCAAGCAGGCATGAGCTAAGAGCTCCTGGTGTTGGGGGTGGAGAGGCAGGTACCAGGCCAGGGACCATGCTTGGCCCTCACCACCCACCTACCTGTTTACTGCAGGCCGCCAAGGCAAACTTGGAGAAGGCACAGTCGGAGCTGTCAGGGGCAGCGGACGAGGCTGCGAGGGCTGAGATCCAAATCCGCATCGAGGCCAACGAAGCCCTGGTGAAGGCTCTGGAGTAGGCAGTGCGTGTCCCTCACCAGCATCAGCAGGGAAACCAAGGTCCAGAGTAGGACAAGCTGTAACCAGCTCCCATGGGTCCAGTATGCCTGGGGGAGGGCAACGCTTTTGAGAGGGAGCTGTGCTAGCTGACAGGACCACTAGGGGGCAGCGCAGTGCCAGTTTCCCCTACAGCACACTCCCCGGGAGCCAGGCCTGGTGGGTAGGGGTGAGCTCAGAGACCGTGCTCTGCCTTTGGGGGGACTCACCTGGGGGCCTGGCCTCCTGCCTACAAAGATACCACCAACCTGACTTGTCACCCACCACTCTCGTCCCTGTAGAGATCTCTGCTCCCTGGCACCTTCGAACAGCCTGCCTCTTGGTCCGCACCCCATTAAACACCAGGGACCCCACTCGTGTGTGGTGATTTTGTTTTCCACCCAGGGCAGTGGGCTTGGGACTCCATACACCCTGTGAGGTAGGGCCTCAGCCTCTGGGATTTGGAGGTTGTGGCCTGAGAGGTCCTTGGGGGGCTCTGGAGAATGGGAAGGGGGGCACAGTATAGCCAGTGACAGCAGGCCTGGCGGTGGGTAGGGTTCTGTGTTCACTCTAAGAGGGTGGGGCCAGGCATAGGGACAGCAAGTGCGGGGACGACTGTGGCTCTTGGGCCAGGCTTGGGCTGCTAGACAGACACCAGGGGTCCTGTCAGCTTTCAGGCTGTGATTTCTACCCTGTGTGCTCTCTGGTCCTACCCAAGCAGGAAGGGACTGGACCACCCCCAAATGGGGTGGGATATCTGGGGAGGAGTGGCCCTGGCAGTGCACACCTTCACTGTGCTGTTCCACCTCTTTCCTTTTGTGACCATGAGGGTGACCCAGACTTGGTCTGTGATGGTAGGCAGAGGGCCTCAAGGCATGAGTCTTCTTGCTCTTCTCTCAGCCCTGAGCCTTAGCAGGGCTTACAGGGTATTCCGGGGGGGTGACACTGTGGGAGAGCCTGGGCCTCCCTGTGTGTCACAGGGAGGCCACCCTGGGGCGTGTCATCAGCTCCGATGGGCTGTGCAGTACTGTGTCACAGTCTCATGCAAGTGACTGTCACATGACTGTGTTTGAGTTTTGTCAGGGGGGAGACTCTTGTGTAGGGGCCTCCAGGCAAACTCACAGCTCAGTGGAGTGGGGTGCATGTGTCTGGGTCTCCCTGCTCTCAGGCCAGTGAGGCCCAAGCAGCAGTCCTCCACTTCCCAGGAACCCCCAGCCCAGAGTATCTGTGACAGCCGGGGGGGGCGGGGGTCACAGATGCAGCCCTGCCCCCATTGTGTCTGGCTCAAGGCCAAGGTCCTAGCGTTCTTGGCCAGGCTGGGTACTATAAATAAGACCAAGGAAGGAAGGGTGAGGAGGGAGACCTTTATCGAGGCACTGCTCCAGCACCTCCCACGACAGGGATCCCCTGGTCCTGCCCTGAGAGGGTTTAGCCTCCAGCTGGGGGACAGCAAGATGCAACTGGGCCCCTGCATCATAGTCCTTGTGGGGGACGTGTGAGCCCCAGGTACACCCCTGCTTGACATGGCTGGTACTGGCAGGGCCAAGGCCTGGGACAGGAGGGGTCCAGAGTGGAGCAAGCCATAGGGCCAGGAACCAGGGATTGAGACCTCTTCCATAGGGTAGGCTGGGGACCTGATGGGGGCAGGAAAGGGATCCCTTGGTACATCTATGCTCACATCCTGGGAGAATTGCTGAAGTATGGGGACACATTAAATGGGAAGAAACAGGAAGCCAGTAGATTAGCATGTTTATTAAGTTGGACCTGCAGAGTAAGGTTAGGGCCCTTCCTGAGAGCACAAAGTTCTGCCCACTGCAACAGCAACACACCCACTCCTTAAGGGTCCCACCTAGTCTGCTCTTCCTGCTGTTTCTGCCACCTCCAGCTCCCTCTGGAAACAGAGCCCCCACCCTGGACCCCTCAGCCTGCAGCCACTTAAGTCTCCAGAGCTTGGCACTAGCTGTTTCCACTTCCTGGAGCACCATCTTCTGTGTGTGGCAAAATCCTTTCCATCCCTCAGCCCCAGCCCCAGCAATTCCCTCCTGCTGACCCAGCACTGACTGACCCTGACTGACCCTGCAGGGCTGGGAGTGCCTGGGTGTGCTGGGGGTGGGAGCAGAGGCCACAGGAGCATTGGGTGAGAGCAGGAAGAACACAGCCCTGGGAGGGATGCCCAGGGTGGAGTTGGAGGTGGGGTTGGTCAGGCCAGATAAAGGGACAAACCCGATAAGTGGACAGGGGAGTAGACCTTGGGGTCCCTCTCTGAGCAGAGGGGGCAGGAAGACCAAGAAGGCCCCACCACCAACCAAGCTCATCCTCAGAAAGCTTCCCACCCTGGGCAACTGCAGGGAGAAAGGACATGCCACATTTCTGCCTGCATGGCCTGTTCCCTAGTATGGAAATGGGTGGGGGGGTTATGCCAACCCCAAAGGATGGGCAGCAGGCTGTGACCTTGGATTATTGAGTGATGACATCACTGGATCTGTGTGAGAGACCCATACCTCAGGCCCCAGAGTGAGCCATGCTGCATTCTCATTCCAACCCACGGCCAGATGGGAGAAACAGGCTCTAGAGGCCAAAGCCCTCCGGAGGTCACAGGACCTATGGTGACTGGCTGCACAAAGCAGGCCTGGCGCTGGTTAATCGCTCTATAAATGCTCTCTGAGGTCACTGTTAAGGGATGCAGGAGGCCGCCTGCGGAGGCACCCCGACTTCAGGCAGGTGACTTCGGCAGGCCTGTTTTCCTGGACTGCGCTGCTGACTCAGGCTCCCTTTCCCGCCCCCCCACCCGCGACTCCAGCGCCCCCAGGCCGAAGCACACGGAGCCTGGAGCGGCAGAAAAAGAGTGGGACAGGGAGCCCGACTGTGCACCCCGAAACCCAGTCCCCGTGGCCCAAGTAGGGGTGCATCCCGGGTTCAGCGGCATTCAAGGAGAACAGTCATTTGTGGGGCGAGTGGCCCAGGTCGGGCGGCGCCCCAGGGCCCTAGCCCGCTGGGAGGGGCGGGGGATAGCCTGCGTCACCACCCTCCCGTTCTCTTGTCCCCCGCCCCCTGCCCGCCCAAACTCCACCCAAGGGAAGGCGGTGCGGATAAAGGTTCGGGGCCGCCCGCTCGGCCCCAGACCTACCCAGACCTACCCCGCCATCGCGCACTTGTTCTTTACGTGGGTACATTCAGGACTGTTGGGACCTCCGACTGGCCGCGCCCGGTGAGTTATGGGCGGGATCTTGTGGGCCAAGGAGGGCTTCCTCACTCTAGTCTCTTAAGGGTGTCTCACTTTTCTTTGTTCTTGGGGCAGGCAGAATTTGGGATAGCTCCTGTCCTGGAAACCACCGCCGGGACGTGGAATGGTAGGAGCTAGGCGCAGCCAGCACCCCAGTGGCGGGACCTCAGCCCCCGCCCCCGCCCCCTCACCTTAGGCACTCCCCTTCCCCAGAGTGACCTTGAGCTAGTTGCTCTTCCAGCCTATTTCCCTCACTGTACCGTCCCAGTGTCCTAATTTAGAGGCTTCACACGTGTACGGAGGCTCTCCCCAATTTCGCAGTCAGTTCGCTTCACTAGTGACCCGGGCAGCCTCTCGCCCCCTCCCCAGGACTCCCGGCAGCGCTCCCGGACGGGGCCGGCAGAGGGCGCGCTGGCGCTGCTGACTCACCCCAGCCCCGAGCGGAGCGGTGCGCGCGGGCGCACCAGGGACGCCGTGTCACGTCATAGCTCGGGCGGGTGCGACTCGAGAAGCGGGCTCGGCCCGCGAGACTGGGGTGGGAAGCGAGGTGGCACCGGCGCGGGAAGGTTGCCCCCAACACCGGCGACGTCACCGGTATGCAGACTTCGCCCTCAGCTCCACTCCTCGTGGAGACTTCATGCCCCAAGGTCGAACCCACCCGGGAGCCACCAAACGGGGCCCAGCCAGAAGGCGTGGGGATTGCCTCTCGCTTCCGCCCGCGGTAACTTCCCGGATCGACGCGGGGAGAGGCTACGCGACATCCTGCCGCTTCTAGAGCGGGGACAAAGCCCGCCCTCACGCCGCACTACTCTTGACTAGGGTCCCGCGCCCTCCCGGGCCGCTCGCCCTTTGTTGTGGGCAGCGGGCCTTATGAATGGCCCCCATCGCGGGCGGGGGCGTGGGGGCCGGCCTCTGCGGCGCCAGCTCCGCCCCCGCCGCGTTCCCCTTGGCCACCGGGGCAGGGGCGGGGCCGGAGGCGGGCACGGCGGCCACGTGGGGCAGGGCCGCGGGTACTCCCATTGGCTGACCAGCGCGGCCTGCTAGGCGTTCGCCGGGCGCCGCCGGGGTCGACCGGCCCTGGCAGGCGCGCTGGTCAGCCAATGGGAGTACCCGCGGCCCTGCCCCACGTGGCCGCCGTGCCCGCCTCCCGGCCCCGCCCCTGCCCGGTGGCCAAGGGGAACGCGGCGGGGGCGGAGCTGGCGCCGCAGAGGCCGGCCCCCACGCCCCGCCCGCGATGGGGGGCCATTCATAAGCCCGCTGCCCACAACAAAGGGCGAGCGGCCCGGGAGGCGCGGGACCCTAGTCAAGAGTAGTGCGGCGTGAGGGCGGGCTTTGTCCCTGCAGAAGCGGCAGGATGTCGCGAGCTCTCCCCGCGTCGATCCGGGAAGTTACCGCGGGCGGGAAGCAGAGGCAATCCCCACGCCTTCTGGCTGGGCCCGGTTTGGTGGCTCCCGGGTGGGTTCGACCTGGGGGCATGAAGTCTCCACGAGGAGTGGAGCTGAGGGCGAAGTCCGCATACCGGTGACGTCGCCGGTGTTGGGGGGCAACCTTCCCGCGCCGGTGCCACCTCGCTTCCCACCCCAGTCTCGCGGGCCGAGCCCGCTTCTCGAGTCGCACCCCGCCCGAGCTATGACGTGACACGGCGTCCCTGGTGCGCCCGCGCGCACCGCTCCGCCCGGGGCTGGGGTGAGTCAGCAGCGCCAGCGCGCCTCTGCCGGCCCCGTCCGGGAGCGCTGCCGGGAGTCCTGGGAGGGGGCGAGAGGCTGCCCGGGTCACTAGTCGAAGGAACTGACTGCGAAATTGGGGAGAGCCTCCGTACACGTGTGAAGCCTCTAAATTAGGACACTGGGACGGTACAGTGAGGGAAATAGGCTGGAAGAGCAACTAGCTCAAGGTCACTCTGGGGAAGGGGAGTGCCTAAGGTGAGGGGGCGGGGCGGGGGCTGAGGTCCCGCCACTGGGGTGCTGGCTGCGCCTAGCTCCTACCATTCCACGTCCCGGCGGTGGTTTCCAGGACAGGAGCTATCCCAAATTCTGCCTGCCCCAAGAACAAAGAAAAGTGAGACACCCTTAAGAGACTAGAGTGAGGAAGCCCTCCTTGGCCCACAAGATCCCGCCCATAACTCACCGGGCGCGGCCAGTCGGAGGTCCC